CTGCAGTTTTTGTGCAATTTAATAATATAGTCCGAACCAGGAATTTTTTAAAATTCACTCGAGGGACAACTGAGTGTCCTCACTTCTTTGCTACGTTGGGAGTGGTAAGAAGAAGGCGATAATACATTTCAGTTTATGATGCGATAAGTTAAGATAACATGTTTTTTTTAAAATTTAAAGTGTTATTTTCAAAGGAGCAGACAGGTGTACTAGTACGCAGTGACTCCAGTTACTACGCATTCTTCATAGTTATGTATTAAAAAAAAAGAATTTAGAATATTTTGCTCGCCACTAAACCTTAGTAACTTAAGCATATAAAGCCATATCGACGTATGCGTAAGTTTTAATAATTTTTTCAGACCTTCGTCTGTTTCAGAAATTCTGCTTTAGTTCACTACTACTAAAAATAAATAATTCGCAACAGCGTCAAATAGCAGGACTGCCAGAACTGGAACGAAATCAGACACAAAAACGTACTTTCTCTGAATAAGCATACTTTTTAGAAGTATGGTACATATATTTTGTAAATAGTTTTTTTCTTACTCTTATTCATTTCATTGTAATTTACAATTACATTTTTGTCTAAACTCCTTGAATTTTTTTCATGGGGCTTAGAAATTAAATTTCGAAGAAATAAATTTAGAAATTATATTTGACAACTGTTTGGGTACCTGCCACCTCTCTCTCCCTTACTTATTCTTTCATTTCACAAAACGCTTATCATGTCTAACTACGGACAAATCAGTCAATGCCGCGTCACGGCAGTGCACTGAGATAGTTGTCTTATTCCATCATTCAAATGTACAGTGTACCAAAAAAAAAAAAAAAAAAAAAAAAAAAAAAAAAAAAACGGACAACCCTGAATAACTTTTAATCTAATCATCGGATCTTCACGCTCTAGTACTCAATCTTAATGGTTTGAGAAGGTGACTAGAGCAGACGAGAATTTAAGTTACGAAATTAGACAAAAAAGTGCACTTTCTCTGATTAAGCATACAACGGATTCGGATTTCTGACCCCCAAAATATAGTGGGTAACCACAATTTGCGAGATACAGTTTGGTGCTGAGAGCGACACAATTATGAAATTCGTTTATCTGAAAATAATTCCGTGCAAAAAATTTAGTATTTTTTAATATTTTATTTACGGGCCGGGATAGCCTGGTCGGTAGGGCGCTGGGCCCATATCCAAGAGGTCGTGGGTTTGATCCTCGCCGGCCGAAGACTCCCCGTGTAGTAAATGGTGACTGATGCACGTTAAATCTGTCGAGTCTCAAAGTCCTCCATGTTCCCACAACAAATCAATACCTCTGGGGGTACTGA